TTGTTGTGAGTGTGTTGTTTAACTAGTGTGGTCTCTAGGCTTCCATCGGGTTATACCCTCGAGTTGCCTTCCTACTAGATTCAGCTGTGCAGTTGTTCAAGTACGCGCTGTATTGGTTGTTATCTAGATGTACATATGTGTTTTTATTTATATAAGTCGTTTAAAAAAAATGAGGACATAAATATAAATTTAAATTTTATATGTGTTTTTATTTATATAAGTCGTTTAAAAAAAATGAGGACAATATAAATTTAAAATTTAAGGACGCATATAGGATAATATATTTATATAAACTATATATTTACATAGTAAAAAATAAATTTTTATTATTACAATACATAAGTTAATTGTTCAATCAATAAAAAAACCTTATAAATGATCACGTATGGAATGTACCCGAACCTGTGAACATATAAAAAACATGTAAAAATCAATAATTATTTTTCTTTTTCTTGTTTTGAAAATAGATAGCTTGTAAATTATTAGATGAAGTATCAAATATGCTACGTATTTGGTGGGGTGCGCCAACTTCGTATATGTGTCTGTGCTTCACAATTTGTCACATGAAATTAATTTGAGTTTGACTTAATTAAGAGTAATACATACACAAACATATTTACTAAAGTTTAATAAATTATCAAATATTCTTATACAATTCCGTATTCCCCTCAATTCAACTCTTCACGGCCCTATATTATTGGCTTTTTCATCCCTCTCCAGATGAACTTTTACTCATTCCCCCCTTCAAGGCAAAAAATAATAATAATAATAATAATAATTGAATATTTTTAGGATATTAAATTGTAAGGAATCCAGATTATAATATAACACGAAGTTCACATCTGTTTTCATGTGAGCAAACGTGGCTTATAATGCTGATAAGGTCACAACATGCAAAGCTTAATTACATGCAAAAACTTAATAAAAATTACTACATTTTGCTGTGTGTAGAAAAATGTTACCTTGATTGAATACTATATGTCATGTGTGGAAAAGTCAGAGTTGAATCGGGAAGATCAAGTTATTCCAGCTCGATATCATTAAGAATTTATATAATTAATCACGATTGTCTTTGGTCATTTTTTTAATCATAATACACAAGACTTATTTTTTGTAAATACAAAGACNAAAAAAAAATTATAATAAGGTAATATCCCATTAGTAGATAATAAAAGTGGTTGACTTGTTCTTATTTATGTTTGAAATTTTGGAATTATTAAATCAATAATATTGAATGAATAGTCGCGAGGATGTAACATTTGTGTGAATTAATAAGTCATTGACTGGGCCATGTTGATGGCTAAAAAGTATGAATTCATTGACTGCATTAGCTATTTTTCATTTCCATCAAATATTTTTTGCAACATGTATAATTAATTAGCAACATTTTTATATATCATGAACATACACAGTTTTCATTTCTAATGTTGATTATATGATCAAGATGTAGTTGTAAATTATGAATTTTCATTAAGCTTAAATTATGAAAATAATTAGTAGTTGACTCCGGCGTTGACTTTTGACTTCCGGCGAGAATCGTTGACTTCCGACGTTGACCGTTGACTTCCGACGTAGTGTATATATTAGCAATTTCATAGGATGATACTATATTTAATTTTAATACAATAAGTAAAAATGCCGTGGTGTATATATTAGCAATTTGTATTTAATTTTAGTTATCTTTGCAGTTTGCATATTACTTCTCCAATCTTTTATTAAAATAAATAAGATTTAAAACAAGTATTTTGTATTAATCAAAATCATATTAAGAAATCATGCCATCCAAAATCATATTAAGAAATCATGATCATGGCGTCCAAAAATCATACGCGATTCTCTCATAATAAAGCATCTAACATTGTAGATTTTCAAAACTCATGAGGTTTGAGTAATGGACTTGGAGAAATAGAAAAGGTAGAATTTCATTCTTTAATAAAACTAGAAAACATTAAACATTAAACATTAAACATATTCCATTAATCTAAAGCTAGAAACAAATTTCNAATAGAATGACGATTTCTTCGAGGCGAATCGCTATCAGTAGCAAAAGGCACCACAGTACAATGGCCATAGCAATTAAGCAAAAAACTATAGCGATAATAATAATTGTAAAATACAATAGATCCATTGTTTTTTGATGTTATGTATAGTTTGTATCTATATCTATACTAATATAAAGAGGTTGTTGGAAAAATACTTTTATAGTAAGTTTGATTAAAAAAATAAATGATTTGACTTATTATTAATGGAAATTTCGAAAAAAAACACATGTACCAAAAAAATTGAGATTTTTATGGTAACAAATTTGGAGATTTTTATGGTAACAAATTTAATTGAGATATCCCAAAAAAATTGGAGATTTTTATGGTAACAAATTTGGAGATTTTTATATCAAAATTTAATTCATTTTAAATATTAATCCATAAGAATCTACTTTTATTGGTAACAAATTTGAAGATTGTTATGCCAAAAAATTGAGATTTTGAATTGATATATCCCAACAATTACGGATTTTTTCCCATTCAAATTAATATTGTAAATAAAAATAAAATTATTCCAAAAATAATGGATGTCATACCAACTATTGATAAATTCCAATCCCATAGGAGATTTCTATGGGATTCTTATGGTAAAAAATTGGAGATTCTTATGCCAAAAAATTGAGATTTTGAATTGAGATATCCTAACAATTTTGGATTTTTCCCCCTTCAAATTCATGTTGTAAGTCAAACAAAAAATTATTCCGAGAATAATGGATGCTATACTAAATATTGATAAACTCCAATCCACAGGAGATTTTTATGGGTTTCTTATGGTAACAAATTTGGAGATTCTTAAACCAAAATTTAATTTATTTTAAATATTAATCCCATAGGAATCTATTTTTATTGGTAACAAACTTGAAGATTCTTATGCTAAAAAATTGAGATTTTGAATTGAGATATCTTAACAATTACGGATTTTTTTTCATTCAAATTAATGTTGTAAATCAAACCAAAAATTATTCCGATATAATGGATGCTATACTAAATTAATATCACTGGGCCCACACGTTAATATGATATTAATTAGATAAATAAATTACGTAAATCTTTCCTAACAAAATACGTTCCAATACTTTTAACCAATTTAATGGGATTTTGTTAACTAATTTGATAGGATTTTGGTAACCACGGGATTTTGTTAGCTTTTCATGAAAACACGTATCTTCATTATTGATAAGGTTTAATAAAATTTTGTTTTCAATTTTTTTTTTCCTCTCTCGAAAATTTGATAAGGTTTGAAAGATTTTGTTTGCTTTTTTTCATCTCTCTCGAAAATTTGAGTTGTGGATTTGAAAAAAATAAATAAATAAAATAAACATATCATATTGATAAAGTTTTAGTGTGGGTATAAAAATCAATTTTGATTTGATTGAACTTTGTTTCATATAAACCTAAAAGAATCAGACGTTTGAAAAAATAAAATATTAATAGTAAATAATCATACCATATTTGTAAGGTTTGATTTGGAATATTGAGGCATAAAAATCAATTATGATTTGATCACATTTTGTTTTATAGAAGTTATCTTAGAAAATTTTACATGTTTCAAAAAATTAAAGATTATAATTTCGTATATTAAAGTTTTGGATTTGTCCAAATAAATAGGAAAATATAAAAATAAAAATATTATTTTTCAATCTATCCAAAAAGTTTTACCAAATTTCATTGTAACAAACTCCATTATTTTTGGCCACATAATCTTCTAAATATTCGTTCGTCCCTCACAAGTGAATCACGTTCCACATTTTTTTTTTTTTTAACAAAACCGATAACACATATTTTTAGAAGTCAATCATAATCATAATAAAAAAAACGGATCGAATCATGTTAAATATCTTACGTAAATATTTTTTTATTTCCCAGACATATGTCACATACACATGACTATATAAACATCACCAACGTTGAAGAAAAAGTATTCGAACAAAATAATTTTTTCTACAAGCTTTTACATCACCATTGAAAATGGCTTCGAATTTTGGAGTAATGAAGGATATCAAAAGATTTAATAAGCCACCAATCAAGCTACGCATAATTAGGATGTTCCAACGAGTTGAAGACGTACGCAATTACCGAAATGTTCTTGAGATTATCTTTCATAATTTTGAGATAATATATTCATTTCGTATTATTTAAATGCATCATTTTATGTAACATCTTTTATAATTTATTTATTGAATTATTCATTATGCAATGTTTTAGGGAGGATGAATTATTGGCATAATTCGACCTGTCAATATCCAAAAAATCATCGGTGATATTGAAGAAGGTGGCGCTTATATCTTGACAAACTATCAAGTAGAAAGCAATATTGGCATCCATAAATCGACGATAGGAAAAAAGAAAGATCATTATCAATGGCCAAACCAAGGTTATCAAATGGAGGGGTGATTTTCTTATTTCTAACTTTAATGGATGTTCGTAACATTGATGAAGTCAAGTTGTTTGGTACGTTATAATTTTTTGTTTATTTCTTATTTCGATTTTTTTTAATCTAAAATATGTAATAAACTATTTTATATATTATACATTTCAATATGATGCATTTTCTTATATTTTTGTAGATATTATTGGATTGATTGTTTCCTATTATGTTTTCTTACGCCATTACTATAAATAAGAGTCAGGAACAATCATTATCGCATGTGAGCTTATTTCTTAAGAAACCAGTGTTTAGTCATGGCCAATTGTATGTTGTTGTCTCTCGTGTCACAAACAGAAATGGGTTTGAAAGTCCTAATTTGTGGCGACGATGACGTGCCAAAGAATCAAACCATAAACGTTGTATATAAGGAAGTGTTCAATAATATATAGATTTTATTATCATTGTATTTATTAATTTATTTATTATTAATGACATCATCTTTCCTTTAGTACGTGGTTGTGCGATGCACGAGTGGTAATGAAAATATATAAATTAAATTATTTAATGAATATAGACTAATATGATAAAATTTTTAATACTAAGAATAAGACAATTTTAAAACAACCCAAATCGATCGGTAGGATGTTTGACAATTACAGGGTTCAATTGTGATTCAGTTCAATGGTCTTAAGATTTTAAAAAACTATACCAATAAAATTTAAAAAGTATTTATATTAGATCCTACAAATTACTTCAATATACAAAAACAAAAAGTATTGTTGGACAAAAGGCCCTCTTTTTTCACCAAATCCAATTAATGCTCCTATAATCCGATTTAAAAAACTATACCAATAAAATTAAATAGTATTTATATTAGATCCTACAACAAAAATTACTTCAATATACAAAAACAAAAAGTATTGTTGGACAAAAGGCCCCTCTTTTTTCACCAAATCCAATTAATGCTCCTATAATCCGATTTATTAGCAACAAAATTTCCAATTTACGATAATTTTTTACATATACATCAATAAACATTAAGGTTGATGTTAGGCAGGTCTGAAGGTTAAACGATTATATTATTTGCAATAATTGTGCTCACTTTCGAGCTTAAAAGTCGTACTCTAAAATACAACATAAAATATTTTATAGCATAAATATATATTTTTATTAAAAAAAACGTACATCGAGTCGACATGTCTAACATATTAGGTGGTTTAGAGTACCTTCAATGACATATTATCAATTTTGGTTGCATGGCATGGAGGAAGAAGATTAAAAATTTTTGTCTCCAATAATTAATGTTAAAGATGGTCTAATTTGACATGTGTAAAATTATAATTGGTTGAGAAAAAAAGAAAAAAATAATAAATAATTTCTATAATCTTTTTAGAAAAGTTGTTTAGAAGTAATTCCACATCTAGAAAAATTAAATTAAATTAAATAAAAAATTATATAGAGAAGTTGTTTAATTTTGTGACATGTGTCAACAAAATAGAGCAATATTTTTTTATCATAATTATACTACAGATCTCTAATAATATGCTCTATAAAACCAGACCAGCTTCCTCCATTTCCTCACACAAACACATTCTCTCGCCCCCAAAATTCTCACGCACAAACGCACACATTGAAGGTGAGAAAACCAGCCATGGCCGGAGCCGTACCCGCAGCCCCCCTCCTGAAGGACGAGCTCGACATCGTCATACCCACGATTAGGAACCTCGATTTTCTCGAGATGTGGCGGCCGTTTTTCGAGCAGTACCACCTGATCATCGTCCAGGACGGCGACCCGTCGAAGACGATCAAGGTGCCGGAAGGGTTCGATTACGAGCTGTACAATCGCAACGACATTAACAGGATTTTGGGTCCAAAGGCGTCCTGCATCTCGTTCAAGGACTCCGCGTGTAGGTGCTTCGGGTACATGGTGTCCAAGAAGAAGTATATCTACACCATTGATGACGATTGCTTTGTGAGTATGATGAGATTGTTTTATGTTTTCGATTTAATTTTTTGTTGGTTATGTGATCTGTGGTTGTGGGGGTGTGGAAACGTTTGATTGGATCTTGGAGTCGTTTTGATGTGGATTTAGGGTTTTTTTTATGTGTGTTTGAATTTTTTGGAGTAATTTGGGGTTTTTTTTGGCTATTGATTCAGATTCCAATCCCTGATTGCAGTTTGTTCCTTAAAAAATATCAAATTAATTGGTGGATGTAGCCGTGACACAATTATTGGATTTGGTTTTTAGCAAGCAATGAGGCTTGATAGCTATAGACAATTACCTTATAGGCTTATACACCACACAATATAAGCTAGCAATAGATTCTCTTTTCAGGTTAGCAATAAATTATTCTCTTTTTCAATGGTTATTGTCTTGCACATTTGTTCTTGCACATACGTATGCTTTATGACATAGAACTCAAGAACTTTTCTACAAAAGTAGAATGTAGTTTTGACACAATCTTGGACAAATAATAAACAAGGCTTTTCACTTAATCTTTGCCAAATGTACTAATGCTACGAAAATTTATCGAACTCACGACTTTGAGTGATCGATGGTTGCAATCCTACTCACGAACTCTGAATGATAAAAAAAAATGTGTTTTTTCTTCTTCTTCTGTGGTGATGTGCAGGTTGCCAAAGACCCATCTGGAAAAGACATCAATGCCCTTGAGCAGCACATCAAGAATCTCCTGAGCCCATCAACCCCTCATTTTTTCAACACCCTTTACGACCCGTATAGGGAGGGTGCCGATTTTGTTCGTGGATACCCATTCAGTCTACGTGAAGGTGTCCCCACTGCTGTCTCTCATGGTCTCTGGCTCAATATCCCTGATTATGATGCCCCTACACAGCTTGTCAAACCTCGTGAGAGGAATACCAGGCATGTGCTCTGTAAAATTGTGAAATAGATTACTAATTTGAAAATACAACCTCGAAATTTAGCCAATTTTGGAAAAAAAAAAACAAAAAACAAATCGTTTTATTTAAGGTGTTGCACAATCTGTATGCAAAACGGTAGGTCTGATTTCATAATTTGTTAGATGGGGCAATTTTAATCCGATGTTACACTTTTTGAGGAAAAATGCATATCTTGAGCAAAATCAGCTATTTGCCTTGCCAATATATATGAG